AAGAAGATAATGTTGTTTTAACTTGTGCACATCACAGAGCAATGTTGATAGTAACCCTCAAGAGCTTCTAATGAATAAATTAGTAGTATCACTTACCAAGTACAGTAATTATATTTCCGTTTAATATTGACAAGTGTCACTCAACTATAACCTCTATATAACACAATTGGATTTGTTGTTTTTCTTGGGTCTTTCCAAGTAATTTTTTTGATGCATCGTCAATATTTTACACTTTAGAATAGTTTCTGTTGCCAGAATGTCTTCATATTATTTGCTGATAATTGCAATATCTATGAGAAGACAGATTATATAAAATACACATCTCTTCATAAAACACACACCCAAATGAGTTTTAATTTACTCAATCATATGCTATGGATAGAGAAGTAAGCTTACATAGGGGGTCTCTGCCTTTTTCAGAGAAGTGTTTTGAATGTAAAATCTTCAGACATGTTTTCCAGTAATCTTCTCACTTCACTAAACTGTCTAGGTATTTCTCTTTTCTCTATAAACTTTATCTCATGAGATAGATTCCAAGAATTACTTCAAATAAGGCTGCAGTACATGGGGAGATTCTTTTATATATTTATTATTGCATTAAAAAATAAAGGACAAATATGTAATACCTTAATAAGAAATAAATAAAAAAAGAAGAAGAAATAGAAAAAAAAATAGATCCAGTGCTGAGCAACAGCATGGTGAAGCTTTAGGTACTCCCCCTCCCCCAATCACACTCAACCCCACTTTCATCCTTGCTTAAGGAATGAATATCAGATAATAATTTGTCAGATCCTATCACCTAAACCTTTGATCAATATATTAGTGACATCTTTGAGGAAAGAAGAAAATAGTCTATTTGACAATTCTGCTTTTAGATGTAATTATTTGCTTTAGAAATGAATTGAAATGGCAAGCACAATGTGGTTATCTTGCATGTACATCTGATGGATACTAGGAGAAATCTTAAATTTCTATTTCCCTTAATAATGATTTTAGAATAGTTAAAATCACTGCTTATTGTAAATAACATGTTTTTTGTTGTTGTTTTATGTTAATCCTCACTGGAGATTATTTTCTCCATTGACTTTTAGAGAGAATAGAAAGGAGGGAGAAGAGGGAGGGAGGGAGAGAGAGAGAGAGAGAGAGAGGGAGAGAGAGAAAGATACAGACACATTGATTGGTTGCCTCCCACACACACCCCAACGGGGGCCAGGGATTTGAGCCCACAAGTGAAGTATGTGACCTTGATGGGAATATAGCCCTCAACCTTTTAGTCCATGGACTGTTGCTCTAACCACTGAGAAAACTGGCTAGGACAATAACCTGCATATTAATGATTGGTTTATAATCTGCTTTACTGAGTATGGTAGAGTATGTCTTCCTTTTCTCCTGAAATTCAAACTGTTGTTTAATTTTTCAGTTAGTTTAGATTCATTATTATTCTGCATTAGTTGCAGATGTATAGCAGAGTGGTTAGAAAATTACGTACTTTTACAGAGTGACCCCCCCAGCTGCTTCAAGTACCCACCTGGCCCCATACATAGTCATCATGACATTATAGACTATATTCCCTATGCTGCAACCTACATCTCTGTGACTGTTCTGTAACTACCAATTTGTATTGCTTAATCCCTTCACCATTTTTACTCAGCTTCCCCAACCTCCCCTCCCCTCTGAAAGACAACTGTCAGTCTGTTCTCTGTATCTGTGAGTCTGTTTCTATGTTGTTTTTAGATTCAACATATAAGCCAAAGCATATGGTATCTGTCATTCTCTTTCTGACATGAAATTCAAACTCTTATGAAAAATATGATTTTATTTATTTATTTGTTTGTTTGTTTATTTATTTATTTATTTAGAGAAGAAGGGAGAGAGAGGGAAACATCAATCGGCTGCCTCCTGCACACCCGCTATTAGGGTTGAAGCCAGCAACGTAGGCATGTACCCTGACCGGGAATTGAACCTGGCAACCTCTTGGTGCAAGGGACAGTGCTCTACCTACTGAGCCACACAGACGGGGCTGAAATTCAAACACTTGCTAGCTGGTAGAGACATGGCCTAAAAGTTAGTCTAACTTAGCTATTCCAAAACTCTTTTTAATAAAAAAAAAGTTAATTTCATTTAAAAATTCAGATAATCAGCACTTTTTTTTTTTTTTAAGATCAAGACTAATGTGAATATTCAACCAGAATAAAACATTGTTTGATGGTGGGTTATATAATTCCTCCAGTTTACAGCACATCCTTCTTGGCACTGCATGTTAAAATGGACATAGAGAGCTCAGAGAGCAACCCAAATCAAAGGGTTGGAAGAATACTGAAAATAGAATCCATGAACAATGGATATGGAATTGGAATCTATTAATCTTGAGTGTGGAGCATCTTAGTAACTGTCTTCATGGGTTACTCAGTTTACAGAGGACGATGTTAGTTGTTCTTATGAAGGTCAAAAACAAGGGCAATCAAAAGCAGTAATTACCTGAAGGTGAGAACCAGATATGTTTTTTGAGTTATTTATTTATTTTAGTTTCTTTCGAAACAGCCTGAATATTCTTATCTGTCTATTGGTTTTGAAATAATTCAGCCACAGGCAGATTAGGGCAATTCATTAAGATTTCAACCGGTGTTATTATTCATTTATTGACTCAATTCATTTGTGTTCCATTTTTGCTTTTAGATACTTTGTTTGTGGATAATGTTTATTTGTTCATTTAAGTCAAAGTTAAATATGAGTATAACAACTATTTAGAGCTTTCCTCTCTCTCTCTATCCTTTTATTCCTCCACCTAACTACTTCCTCTGAAGTGATTTGGAATCTACTTTTCCTCCTAAATATATAACTTTTTGATAATTGAAGTACTGACCTTAATTATTATTTAGGGGGTGAGAAGGAAAGAACTTTATGGATTCTAAGGCCACAAATGGTATTTTCATTAAAAGTATTTTCTTTGTTAATACTATGTTCAAGGGACTGAACTGTTAGTCAGGTTATCAAAACTGATTATAACTTCACCATTTCCTGCAGCAAACATCTCATTTTTTAATCAAATGAATTTGCCAAAAAATAATTGTTTCAAAATTAACTATTAATTTCAAATTTATTTTGCAAAGAATTGCTAAAATTCACAGAAAAGAAATATGTTTTAAATTTCACTGAAAATTAACTTACTAGCATATGCCTGGAGAAAATAGTAAGGTAGAATATTAGAGATGATTAAACTTGGTTACCAGTATTTAAAATATTTATGATTATCATTACATGCTAAGGAAGCATAAGGAAATTGCCCATTATTTATAAAAACATTGATATTTAATTGATATTAGTTATATTCTTTTCTAGGTTTGAGTTTAAAAAATAAACATTCCTAAAGGAACTAAAAGCCTATTGTGGGTAAAAATACAAAAGTTTAGTTCTGTATACATTTCTTATCCATATACGACCACTGCTTTTATAAAGTTGCAACTTCATATTATGAAAAAATTTAATTTTGATGTTTATTTAACATTGTTATTAATATTTTCAATATTATAGTGGCTTATAATTATTTTGTTTAAAATAAAATGATAATGCATGGAATTTACTAACTGCACAAATGGGATGAATATTAAAGAAAAATGTAAAGGTACTTCATTTTTGCCTTGCAATGTCTTGATTAGCTTTTTATTTTGCATTAATTACATATTTTCAGGTAATTTATGTAAACAGTACAGAATTTTTATAAATTTTTAATCTACCTTCCCTTAATATTAATTACTTACCTAATCATAGCATGATTGTCCAAACAAAGTTTCTGGTAGGAACTTAACATTTGCAAAAAACTATTAACTAGGCTTTAGGCTTTACTCAAACTGGAATACATTTTTTTTAAAAAAATGTATTTTATTGATTTTTTACAGAGAGGAAGGGAGAGGGATAGAGAGTTAGAAACATCGATGAGAGAGAAACATCGATCAGCTGCCTCCTGCACAACCCCTACTGGGGATGTGCTCGCAACCCAGGTACATGCCCTTGACCGGAATCGAACCCGGGACCCTTCAGTCCGCAGGCTGACGCTCTATCCACTGAGCCAAACCGGTTCGGGCTGGAATACTTTTCAGTGCATTGATACATTACTTTTTAATTCCTATTGATTATTACTTATAGAATGAAAGTAATATAATTTTATAAATTAGAAAATAACATAAGGGAAAAATTCTCCTCTAACTTCATTAAATTCTATAAATTTGTATTTCTATTAATTTCTTTCCACTGCTTTATATTTAAAGTGAAATTGTATTTTTGTTTGAAGTGAATATTACTTTAAATATTTCATATTTGTATACTCATATTTTTAATCATCAACTAATAAAATATGACAACAGGAACATTATTCTGATATATTGGGCATTTTCCAGATATTTTGAATATTGATCTAATTAAAACTTCACAACTTTATATACTTATTACAATTCTTATTATATTTCCAGGTTAAACAAATAATAGAGCTGGAATTCTAGCCCAATCTCTAACTTCAAAGATGTGTTCATTTTTACTGCACTATATTTTCAAGTGAAAAAAAAATTTCATCCATATGTGTATTTTTTTCAGATGAATGCTCATGATTCAGGCTTAAGTACAAGTATCAGTAAGGAGAGGTATTAATGTTACTTGTTTATTGCCATGTTAGTAAAATGTAACTTTAAAGAAGCGAAGTAAATGGTATTAATTTGCTTTAATTATATGTGCAATATGAGTAATGCTGATTTTAGCATTACTGCGAAGACTAAGCAAAGACTAAGCAATATAAAATATCTAAATTTTTTAGCACAAAAAAATGACATTTGTTCAATAAAATCTGGTTCCCTTCCCAATTTTCTCTGTTCCCTTTATTCAAATGGAATACTTTTTGTGTGACTCATCTTAAAAGCATAGGATACATCTTGATCTACATTTTTACAAATCTAAAACATTTAAATATGTATTAAAATAACTGTAAACTCTCCTTTCCCTGTCTTCTACAGAATTACAGAGTAGCTCTTGTGGAAACCCAGGAGTCCCACCCAAAGGTGTATTATATGGTACAAGATTTGACGTTGGGGACAAGATCCGCTACAGCTGTGTGACTGGATATATCCTGGATGGCCACCCTCAGCTCACGTGTATAGCCAATACAGTTAATACAGCCTCTTGGGATTTTCCTGTACCCATCTGTAGAGGTAAGGAGAAATACAGTGTTAATTTTTTATGCTGATTGAATATATGACACAATAAAATCATTTTGAAAGTAAGAGTTGCAGTCAGAGAGTATATTTGCAAAACATGATTGACATTTGGCAATTGTTTCTTTTATAATATTTGAAGTTTAAAATTATATGTACATATCATATACTAGATGACAAGTTAAGAAAAAATGCTTGCAAAGGAAAGACTATTTTAAAAATGAGATAGTAAATACATTTATATTTATATATATATTTCTACATAAATTGTGTGTATGTCTTTGTATTTATATTAGAAAAATATGGAGCTCATGATGTTCAGAAATATAATTAGACTGTCAAAGTCATGTTTTTTTTAAATTTTGAAATATTGACTGGATTTGTGAATCTTTTAAAGATTTCTGGTAGAGAACTTAGCATAGGAAATTATGAAATTAAGAATGCTGTATAGTTTCTTATCAATACTGGTGAACATTATTTGTATTATGGGGAAAACACTATAATGTAGTAATACTAGAGGCCCTATGCATGGAATTCGTGCACGGGTAGGGTCCCTAGGCCTGGCTGGCCATCAGGGCTGATCAGGGCTTTCATTCCCCAGCTGCCTGCTGCCAGCCAGGGCCTTCCTTCATTCTGAGTCGCCCCCTGGTGATCACTGAATGTCATAGCAAGCAGTCGAACTCTCCAGGGGAAAATTTGCATATTAGCCTTTTATTATATAGTATAGACAAAGGTTCAAAGTACAGAGACTAGAGGATAGAAGAAGTTCAACATTAGCTGAATTCATGGTGAATTGTGTCCACAGAAATACTGGGCACAGCACTGTTTTCTCTCTGGGCTTCATATTTCCTAAGAAACAAATGAGTATCTCATTTAGCTTTGACAAGCGTCTGTAATTCCTCTACAGATGGGATGTAGGAATGTCCAACTGCTCATCTAAATTACTTTGTAGTTTACTCTTAAACATGTCACCACAAGTGCATGCAAGAGAAACCCTTGGAAATAAGACACAGCTAACTTCTTATCCCAGCTCTGACTTTTACCACGTGAGCTGTATCAAGCAAATCATCAACTCTGTGAGCTTTATCTCAGATTTATCTCTTTTGACCAGTGAGAGAAAACTACAACCATTTATTGTGAGGATTACATAAGATACCTATACCTGCCTCTTAGTAAAATATCTGACATGTATGACATTCTTTCAATGTCAGCTTCCTTTAATGCTGCTTCTGCTAATAGTAATACTACCACTGCTGCTATTACACTGTTACTACTGCTGTTTCTGCTGATGGTGATATTTCTGTGACTACTCTTAGCTACCATTTATTTGTGCACTCATAGCGCACTAAGATATTATAAGCATCGTCACTTTTCAATTTCACAACAATATGAAACCGAGGTTCAAGGTTGCTCAGTAAATGTCACAAACTCTGGAGAGTATGAGCTTTTACTTAACTTGCAAGTTCACAAGTTTGTCTGCCACAGTGACTTGATGGACACAGAAGGCACAAGACATTTGGGTCAGAAACAAAGGAGAGTTCATTTGTGTCAGCTCTGCAAGCCAGAGTCTCATAGACCGACAGGAAGAATGTGAGATGTTTTCATATGTAGTTGGTGGCACTATCGGAGAGGAATCATGAACTTAGGAAAATTGAATCTTTTACAATGGGCACATCTGCCTTTTGCTCTAGAGCAGCGGTTCTCAACCTGTGGGTCACGACCCCTTTGGTTGTCGAACGACCCTTTCACAGGGGTCGCCTAAGACCATCCTGCATATCAGATATTTTACATTACGATTCATAACCGTAGCAACATTACAGTTATGAAGGAGCAACAAAAATAATTTTATGGTTGGATCACAACATGAGGAACTGTATTTAAAGGGCCAGAAGGTTGAGAACCACTGCTCTAGAGAGAGACCTTACCTCTGTCTCTCAAGCTTGTAAGGTAACTTGCCCTTCCGTCTGGTGGAAGACACTATTTTTTTTTCTTTGCATCTATTTGCTATACAAACATCTCTGAAAAGGCAGTCTGGTACAAAGATGTGCAGAACTGTTAGCGTCCAAGGGAGAAATGTCTGCCAATGTAAATTGGGTATGATGGCGATGTCAGATTTGAACCCATTCTGTCTGGTTTCAAAGCCTGAGCGTGCTACTACTTTGGCGCTTCACCAAAATAATTTGCATCTCTCTTCAAAAGAATTTTATTATGAGAGGAAATGGTGCTATATATATGAATCAGCCAAAAGACATATATTCAAGTTTTTACAAGTGTAAAACTCCCTTTATCAAAAGGACTTAAGATAGTTAAAACCATGAAACATTTGTGCTAGTAAGATGTTTCAATGGAGTAGTTTCAATACTATCTGAAAATTAAATTCTGTTGTGGGGCTTTTTCTCTATCTCAGTTTAATAAGAAAGATGACTCTAAATACTAATTCTGTCACATATTGACTAGGGCCTTTGAGCAAAAATTATTATTTTGGATACTATTTCCTTAGCTGTAATAAGATTAAAAGATAGAAATACCAAAATCACACTAGTGTTAGAGTTTAATATGATAGCATATGTAAAGGGCCAGGAACATAACTAAGTTCTTATTTATGCTCAGTCTATCTTTCTAATTTTCTTTAGCACTTGTTACCATCTCCTTCAGAGAGAAAGGAATTACGTCAACAAAAACTGCATGAAAATAAATTATTCTTATATCCTAAACCTAAAACGTTTCAGTTTTAGTTATTGTTGATATTTTGTTTGATTTTGCCATAGTATATACTCAGCTTCCCTACTCATCAACCTCAAGTATCTTCACAATTACTTCCTTTGACTCTTTTACTCCATTCTAACCTCTGTGGTTAAAAAAAAAAAATCTAAAATAAATAAAATAAAAATGGGTCTACTGTTTTTGAAAATTCTGCCACTTCAACTTCAGTCTGTCAAATTTGCATTTTCTTCTCCTTAGCAGTAAATGAATACATTTACTCATTGAAATATATTTATTAAGGACCTACAATGTGCAAAGCATTATTTCTTTTACCAAGGATCAAAACATGATGCAGAAACAAGTTTTGCCTTTAAAAACCAAATTCTAGTGTGGCTGATCATAATGTAATCATAATTAATATATGATAATTGCTTTAATATCAGAATGTATAGTGTGTTAGGCACCTTGATAAGGAAAATCATAGATTCTCTCAGTTGAGTGGAATGAAATTCGGTTAGGGACAACGTTTTATGAGAAGCTCTCAGAAAGGTCTTGCTAAAAACACAAAGTAGATAGAACAACATTTTCAATGAAGCCATAATTTTCCTTTTTAACCTCAAAAGAGTTCTCAGTGTTACTAATATTCACTGGCTAATGGTAGAGTATATAAAGTCACACTTAATAAAGCTCATGTTCTAATTTTTTAAGGAGCAACTTATCTCACATTAATCATTTTAAAAAATGAAAACTGAAACAATAGAGGAATAGTGTATTTTGATTTTGTGTAGTTGTCATTTATTAGGAAAGATAAGATGGGAGACTGTTCACTCCATGGCTTCCCTCCTCTGTTCTTTGCCATTTGATAGTATGCAGATTCTTTATTTTATAATCTCACAGGGAGCTGATAACCCTGTAATGATGTACTTATTGCTTTCCCTAGAGTTTACATAGAGTCTGTCCTTGATGAAACTCTTGTCTTTCAGGGAGTTCTTTTGATGCTTCCTAACAATGATAGTTTAATTAAGAAAAATGAATGCCACATCAACCTAGTGGGTATGGTGCAAGGGCTTTTGTGCTCATTCATAGGCAAGATGAATTTCATCAACACCATCTGCTAGTATTGGTAAAAGGCAGCTAGCTAACTGATGCTGGGCTAAAGAATATTCTATAAAAAGTGACACTGAATCCTGTGCTCCCAGTCTAGAATGAAAACACCTGGCACATATGCCGTTTCTGCAGCCCTCCTTCAGTAGACAGTGCATGACACTTACTGCCACCGAACTTTGATGTGGCCTCGGAGTCCTCTTCATTCCATTGCTCCCAACACTGTTCAATAAATAAGAACAGTTGGCAGACACAGTAAAATGAATATGCTCTTCCCAGGTTAAGCAGTCTAAAATTCATAATGTTGTTTGTATTAAGAATGGCATTTGATATACACATCTCAGAGCAAACTAATAAAGGTGCATGTAAAAGTTACACATAAATTATAGTGTTATTAATGCAGCTAAATCTGGGTATACACACACATACACACACACACACAGGTCAAGCTATTTGGTTGGAAGAATTAACATTTTAAGATTTAAGGAGTCAATCATAGACAATTTAAGGTTGTATTAGGATGATTTTAGATAAATTAGAAAAATATTCAGAAGGTGTTATATTTCCTTGGATGATTTGATAACTTTATAGTCAAAAGTAAAGATCTTGGACTCTATGTAAGTTTCAGGGATAGCAGAAATCATTGAAGTGTATAATGTAAATTATTGACATTTATTTTGATCTGACAGGTGAGATACTGATTGGGGAAGGCTTGGATGTTAGTGATATAGATGTCATAGTCAACTGGTGCCATCTAAAGCAACTATTTGACAGTACAGTAAGCAAAAGGGCTAATAAGTGAACTGCTGTCTCTGACAAAGCAAAAGGAATTGCAGTTATGTAAATTAGCAGTGAAGAGTGAAAGGGTCTTCTACATTTTATTCTTGGGAGTAAGTCTGCCTTCTACTGCAACACAATAAAGAAAAGCTAATGGAAAAAATAGCAGCAGCTTGTATAGTCAGAACATAATATTCTCCTACTTTAAATCTGGATCAGTGATTCAGGATCAAAGCATGATGCTGAAACAGGGAATTGGATGAGCAATTAAAGGCAATAGTGGGAAAGGGGAAAGAGGGGGAGGTTTAGCCAGATGTTTTTTATATGAAAATTATACCAAAAGTCCTCCAAAGAAGTAGTGACTTCTAATCAAAGGTTAAAGGCAAAACAAACAATCAGAAGGCCTAGCAAAG